GAGGGACAATGAAATAACCAGAAAGAAAGAATTTCAGGAGTCTTTTGTGACCAGGATGCTATGGTGGCATTGGAGGTTAGGCATCAAGGTGCTCACCACCAGGTCTGTGGTTGAAAAACCTGCCACCTGTTCTGCTTCTGGGGAGGCTGTTTGTGCCTGTAAAGATATACAGTCTTGGGAACACTGTGCAGGGTAGCAGTGAGTCGAAATCAACTCTGTGGTAGTGGGTTTGTGTTTGTTTTTTGTGGCCAGGGGCGTCAAAATTAATTCCTAAGATATTATTTACATCGTGTAAGGCTGAAGAGTTGTAATTTCCTATCTTTTTTATATATCAAGTACTATATAACTTAAGAATAGAATATAAGTGCAAAGAATGTTTTGTTTTTTTAAAATCATTTTATTGGGGGCTCGTACAATTCTTATCACAATCCATACATCCATCCATTGTGTCAAGCACATTTGTACATTTGTTGCCATCATCATTTTCAAAACTTTTTCTTAAAAAATTTTTTTTAATCATTTTATTAGGGGCTCATAAAACTTATCACAATCCATACATACATCAATTGTGTAAAGCACATTTGTACATTCATTGCCCAAGAAAATGTTTTAAACCACCAACCAGGTTAGTTTAGTTTTGTCTGTGACTATGTGCAGTATGTATTTGACATGTAATTATAATGTGTATGTGTGTGTATATATATCTATGGATAGAAGTATACTTTCATTTCATAATTAAACACTCCCTCTGGAGTTCCCATCAAGGCACTTAGCTGCGAGTTGGCTTCTTGAATGGCCAGGATTAGTGGGACAAAAGGAAACATTCCAGTAAAAGTCACATATTGTATATTGTAAAAAAAAGCAGGAAAGAAAACTTGGATTTAAGGGAGGAGGGAGAGTCCAAAGTTCCAGTTTCTATGAGACATTTGTGGAGAAGCTTTGCCAGCCAATTTCATAATCTCTAACTGATGCAAATATTTACCCCTAGGTTCTAATCTTCCTTCTAGAGCAAAAGGTCTTTAGGAAGCTTAGAGACTTCCTCTGTTTCTTCCACACGCTGGGCCGCTGACCCTGATCACTGTAGGCAGTCACCATGGTTTCTCCTTCGGATTTCTTCTCCTGGCCTTCTCAATGGCACCCTGGTGGTTACCAGTCACACCCACTCTCTTTGTCTGTTCTTAACTAGAGGAAGTTTCTGTAACCTGTTCTCTGCTAGGCCAGCCCCAAACAAACCATACAGTCGAGGTTAACTCATAATGCCGTGATAGGATGGAGTAGAATTGCTTTTTAGGGTTTCTGAGATTATACATCTTTATGAGAGCAGACAGCCTCATCTTTCTCCAGTAAAGAAACTGGTGGATTTTGAACTGCTGATCTTAGCAGTCCAATGCTTAACCCACTGGGCCATCAAAGCACCTCTCTAAGACAGCAAAAAAGACCTCCAGCAGGGTGGATCGACATAGTGCTGCCATGATGGGTTCATACATAGCAGCTATGGTACAGGAGCAGGCAGCGTTTAGTTCTGCTGTGTATAGGGTTGCTATGAGTCAGAACTGCTTTCATGGCCCGTAATGACAACCCGGGTGGAGTAGTGCTCTACTTTCCAGGCTCCTGTGCTTTGAGCCTTCTGCCTGCCTCCATTTTCTGGTCTTTCACATTCCTGTGGCTGGGTTCCCGGGCTCCCTATTGCTAATTGTAGGCTGTGTCTGCATTTCATCTTGTCAGAGACCAGGCTCTTAGCATTAAGCACTGGTGCTCAGGTGTGGTCCGGAACCGTCAGCATCACTGTCACCTGGGAACGTGTTAGAAAGGCATATTTTCAGACCAACCCCAGACCCACTGACTCAGACATTCAGGGGTGGGGACCAGCAATCTGCTCTAGTAAGTCTTTCAGGGAATGCTGGTGTACATTCCAGTGTGTGAGCCCCAACTGAAAACCCAACCTGTTGCTGATTCTGACTTACAGAGACCCATAGGACAGAGTAGAACTGCCCCACAGGGTTGCCAAGGTGACCATTTTTATGGATGCAGCTACCACAGTTATGTCCCTCGGAGTGACTGGTGGATTTGAACTACTGACCTTTCAGTTAGGAGCACTTACCCACTGCGCCACCAGGGTTCCGTCAAGTTTGAGAACAGCTGTGCCAAGAGGATGCTGGGAAAATTAGAGACAGTAATCATGAACTCTTAGCCTGTTCCTCCTCAAATCTAGGAACATATCAACATAAAAAGTGATGGCTTCTCAGCCCTTGATAACTATACACTGAAAATTTCAAATTACCATATCGCTGATTTACCTAAATGTCAAAATTTCTGCAGCATGAGCGTACATTTTATTTACAGCAGATAGCACTTTGGGTTTCAGAGTTGTTGACTTGGACAGTTGGTCAGCTGCTTTTGCGGGGGGCCATATGACTCAGCTGAGTGAAAGTAGTGCAGAGGCAGTAGTACAGGGCTCCCATCAGTCCTTTCGTCTGTCCTCACACTCTAACTTTCTCTTTTCTTGGTCAAAGAGCGGCCCTCCCCCACTGATAAATGCTACAGTTGTTCCATTGAGTCAGCCTGCCAGTTGGTGGGACTTGCTTGTGAATCAGCCAGTGCTGGCACCGAAGACTCACTGAGCTGCCATCTGCTTTTTATGGAAAAGATACAAGTCTGTGCCATGAGACATTCGGGCTCCCAGCCCTGCCTTCAGTCCTTTAAATAACGCACTCTGGAAGTCCTGATTACAAGTCTGGCAGTTAGCGCGGCCTGAAAATACAAAACAACCAAAACGTGCTCCCCACTGTGGGCTCAAATCCGAGGGGATTGTGAAACCCCAGGCTTAGAGAATATTGGCTGTTCAGGAACTGGTGCAAAATCAGAATGATCTGACCTAAGGAATCAGTACCGTGTTACTAAAAAAAGCGTACGCAAAAGAGATGCTTAGGAGAGCTTAGTGGTTTGAACTGTCTTGAGTATTTTTCATGTCACTTTCTTCTAGACCTGGAAAGGAAAGAGCAAGACTTAGAGCAGCTGAGAATGGATTGCGAACACTTTAAAGCCCGCCTGGAGACCGTGCAAGCAGAGAGCGTGAGGGAGAAGAAGGTACGGTGCTTAGCGACAGCTCTCCACATGCTGGTTCATGTCATGTCCCAGGTCGGGGTTGGCAGACAGCTGCTCATTTTGAGTAAGCCCCAAGTCTTAGTGTTTCTAGCCCCTAAGCCTCAAGAGATTGTAGTTTTAAATGTATGTATTCTGAGTGAGTTCGGAAATAGTGAACAATTTTATTTTTTTATTGTGGTAAAAATAATACAGACAACAAAACACTCCCAATTCAACAATTTCTACATGTATAATTCATTGCTATTGATTCCACTCTTGTTGTACAATCATCTATCTCTGTCCAAGTTATTCCACCACATCACAGGAACTAAACAAAACCTTCCTTCTCCTTTAACTCCTATTAAATTTGGAATCCTATATATATATTAACCCCTCCTTTTAAAATTAGTGATATCATACAGTACTTTTTAAAAATTGCTTTATTAGGGGCTAATACAACTCTTATCACAACCCATACATACATCAATTGTGTAAAGCACATTTGTACACTCATTACCCTCATCATTCTCAAAACATTTGCTCTCCACCTA